ATGAAAATCTGATTAGAAATCAAAATCAGACAAAAAGATAAGAAAAGAAAAGAAAATGAAAGCGAAGCATGCAAAGTTTCAACTTTCATATGGCAGCTAAGCGAATTAACGAGTGTGCGTGCGTGTGTGTGTGAGTGTGTGTGTATTGATATTTGATACATGAGTTGAGCCACGCGACGTATGTGTGATGCGGGATGAGTGTGAAATAATAAAGGTGCCGAAAAGTTGCGAAAATTTATGATGAATCTTCTTCTTCATCGTATCAATTCAGTTGCAGCTGCCGCTGCTGCTGCTGCTGTTGCTGCTGCTGCTAAATGCTGTTGCAACATGCTTGTCGAGTGCATCATTCGTCATAAATTCGATGACGGTTTGTCTGCGCTTCGCTTCGAGTGCCTCGATTCGACAGCGGACGCATGTTGCAAGCAACACTTTGCGGCATACGAATACAAATAACCGCGAATGCGTTAGGGCCGGATAGGAGGAGCGCAAGGGGCTGCTGGCGGGGCCTAAACAACGCTTGCCATTTGTCACTTATTGCCCCAAATGAATTGCGTCTGATTGCGCTTGCAATACAAACAACAGCAGCAACAGACACAGCAACAACAACAGCAGCAACAACAACAACAGCAGACACAACAACAACAGCAATAAAGCATTAAATTTTCGTACTTTTATACACTTGTTCAGGGCATTTGCAATTTGACATGAAATATATGCTAAATATCATGATATAAGGATTATATTTTAATAGTATATGAATAGAAGAGAAGAATATTTAATAATTTATTAAACGATTCAATATATCATTGAAGTCTTTCGCTTGCAATTCATTATTGAAATTTTAACTTTCATTTCTACTCTATTAAAACCAGGCATAGAAACCTAAGTTCCTAATTATAAAGTGTTTCCCAACTTTTAGTTAACTTAACCAAGCTCAGCCTAAACAACTTCTAGCCTATTATCCCTTAAAACTATATCATCAAGCTGTCATAGCAACACAACCCCTAACAAAATTGTGTGTTGCGGCTATAAATTTAGACAATATCAGATTACTGCAGCATAGGTCAATCGAACTGTAACCTGTTCAGAAAACCATAAAGTCGATTCGGAAAATCATTTTAATTATGTTCAAGCCACTGAAAAAATCTATAAAATTTACAACCTTTACCTTGACTATAGCCTTCAGACAGTAAAGCTACTAGAAGGTGACTGCCAGATGAGTTGATACTATTTCGATTCACTCACGGACAAGGGCTTTTTGCAGCCTTTCTTTTAGATAGATCTTACTCCAAAACTATTAAAACTCTCTGCAACAATTATAAACTTCCTTCTAAACTTAATTCACCCAGTAAAATTTAGTTTACCTAGCAACAATTCGTCAGTTAGGGTATTTAGTCTTCATCTTAACAAGACTTAGTCGTAATTTTTTCCTTTTGCACACAAGTTTTGTGAAATGTTACATTAATGTGGAGTACATAAAATGTATGTTAATGTGCAGCATTTGCCAGCTCAGCGCAGCTTAGGGTCAACATGTTGTTGTTGTTGTTGTCGCTGCTGTGGCTGCTGTTGCTGCTGGTGTCTACGGCGTAGTCTGAACAAGTTTTTTAACGGTTTCTCTTCAGATGGCCTAGTCAATTTTTAAATTGAGCGATAAGTTGACCAACATCGCGCATATTAATGTCAAGTGAAACACGAAGCTAACTTTTAACTCAGTTATAAACAGTCTGTCCGAGTGTCTATCCGATTTCCGAACTCTTATATGTAGCAACAACATTTTCAGGGTTTTTTATCAGATTAAAAAGAAATATATAAATATTTTATATGCATTTGCCGAGAATAGATTTATCTCCGATCTGCACAGAAGAGTGTGAGGCTTATAGAGTGAATCAAGTTTTCATTAGCTAGACTAGAGGTCTCTATGACCTTTCGAGAGGAGTATTTATACGAAATCTATTTATAGTTATTGAGTGTGTTCAAATCGAATATGCCTCTCAGTAAGGACCAAATTATTAATTAATTTGCTGTTGCTTCAAGAAAATTCTGCCTCTAAGCTCAAAAGTCTGTAAAATCTTAACTCCGGATTAAAAGTTTCCCATATTTCCGTGCTGCATTATCTATTCTTGCTAAACCTATATATAGAATGTACATTAGAGACTTCGCGGAACTCTTGGCTTTACAAAGTTCCCAGTTCTGTCTGGCCTTTGCACTCGGCCAAGTTTTTCATAATTCTCAGCCGTACGCTAATTTACTTACACAACAGCTCCTGCAGCTGCAGTGCGTGGACAGCGCGCCTCACTTTGGCCATTCGACGCCTTCATCTGTGGCCGCATCCAAAACCCATAATCATTTGCATCTCTAATGGGCTATTTCGCTGCTGACGAAGAGCGAAATGTTCATACATCAACTCTCTCCAGTTGCTGATGATGCTGCCGGAGCAGCGAGTGCTCCTCCTACTGCTACTCCCACTTCTACTCCTCTTACTGCTTTGTTTCTGCTGTCTTTATCTGTTGCTACTCCCTTAGCTCTGCTCCTCTCTCTGCTGCTGCTGCTGCTGTTGCTGCTCCTCCTCCTGCTTTCTGCTGCTGCTCGCCCGCTGCGCCTGCTTAGCGCCTTTAACAAGTTGGATTATGGCTTTTAATGTGCCTCTATGTGTCTATGTGTCTACGTATGTGTGTGTGGGTGTGTGTATAGACTCATGTTGCTATTGTAGCTGTTGCAGGTACTGTTGCTGTTGCTGTTGCTGTTGTTGCCTTTTAATGCGCTTGGTTAACTTTTTACGCGCACATTCATATTTCGTTCTTGCCATGGTGGATGGATTATCGCATAAATATTGTTATGGTTAATTAGCGGGACACTTTCGTCCAGCCCAAGGCAAACAAAAGGCGTTAAGCAGCTGCCCGGCCACCGGAGTAGCTAAGTCAACTTGTTATACAACAACAACAACAACAGCAACAAGAAGTCCAAGCTGTTCTTGTTGTTGTTGTACTTGTTAAGTAAAATGAATGTGACCTACGCGAGGGCGTTAATGTGATTAAAACTTGTAATAGATAATGTAGCAAGTGATTTAAGTCCAGCATCTTATAATTATGTTATATGCTACCTTTACCTCCCACTCACCTCCACTCTCCCTCTCTCTTTCTCTTTCTGCAGCTCCTCTTAGCCATGGGCATTGCCTTGATGTTTCTGCTGGCCCTCTACCAGATGCAATCGGCCATACACAGCGAGATCATCGAAACGCCAGGCTATATAGAGAACTCGCTCTTGGAATCGGAGGAAGTTAATCCCAAGGCAGTGGAATCTGATATTTTGGATGGTTTAGCCAGCGATAAACTGGACCAAACTGAACTGGAGTTTCGCTATCCGATCTCGGCCATTGGCATTGATTACAATAAAAACTCCGTAGTACTACGCTTTCAGAAACACGCCCACAAGACCAATTCAAAGTACGATCCGGACTACGATATGAAGCGCAAGTCTATGCAGGACAATTTTATGCGCTTCGGCAAGCGGCAGCCGGAGCAACTGCCTCAGGCGACGGGACCGGGATACTACGAGGCTGCCAAGCGTTCGGGCATGGATCGCTATGGCCGTGATCCGAAGCAGGATTTCATGCGCTTTGGTCGCTCGCCTTCCGATTTCATGCGCTTTGGTCGCTCCCCTTCCGATTTCATGCGCTTCGGACGTGATCCCAGTCAGGATTTCATGAGATTCGGACGCTCCGATAACTTCATGCGCTTCGGCAGAAATATGAATTTCCATGAGGAGCTGCGCAGTCCCAAACAGGATTTCATGCGTTTCGGTCGTCCGGATAATTTCATGCGCTTCGGACGTGCGGCGCCCAGTGATTTCGAGCGTTTCGGCAAAATGGATTCGAATTTCATGCGCTTTGGCAAGAGCGTAAATAGATCGGGAGCAGGAACTGGAGCCGGAACTGGAACGGGAGGTGGATTAGCCAGTTCTTCGGAGTCCAAGCAGCTAAATAAACTGGATGGCAAGCAGCAGGGCACTGAGGAGACTAATCCCGTGGATAAGGCCATGTCGATGCTATTCAATAAGCAGCAGCAGCAAGCTCAACAGGGTCAGGGGCAGGCTCAGAGGTCAACTCATGATCAGCAGCAATTGAAAAGCGGCGAACAAACCGAATCGGAGGAGCAATTCTATGAACCATAAATTCTCACACACTTAAAGCACGCTGTAAATATTTCAAATTGGCCAAACACAACTGAAAATGATGATACAAATATATACATACATATATACACACTATAAATGTTGCAATAGTAAAAAAAACTATAAAACACAACTGTACTTTGAATTTTTAATAGGGCTGGATTAAAAATTCATCAAATCTTTGCTCTGCTCAATAAATTATGTCAAACGATATACCATACATAATATATAGATATTGAAAGCAAAGGTCAAAGGTCACATACATATGTATACACAGAGACACTAAAATGTCATAAAACTAAATCTAATATCGAAAATTTAAAGTGTTAAATGTAATTCCCTAAAATGCATGCAAATGTTGTGAACAATCTTTTAAATAAAGACCACTCGCTAAATTATTAGTCGATTTTTTGACATCTTAAAAGCGTTAAATTAGGCATCGGCTTTGGCATTGACCTTAACGAAAAGGTAATTTAAATTAATCGCTTTGCTGTTGGCGCCATCTGTTGCGCGGTAGCGTGAACAATGTAAACTCAGTTGTGAGCTCAACTGTTTTAGCTGTGCGCGATGTGGCAGCGCCAAAGCAACAAGTTGTTAGCTAGGGGTGAACGCGTGCCAGCTGCCTGCCACCAGATGAAAGCGCATAGCAATGCGTATTTATACAAAGAATTAAAAAAGGTAAATATAATAATTATGACCAGTTAAAAACAAATTTAAATTATATTTTTACGGTAAATTAGAATTTAGTGAGTTTGTTTTTCGGTTCAGCAGTAATTAACTAGAGCAGTTGCGACATCGTGCACAATCGCAACACGCACACATCTCTAGTTTGAACAGCTGAATGTTGCGGTTGGCTTCTGTCGGCACCAACCCGTCTCGCGTTTGTTTGATTTGCGTATTCAATCTGCATAGACCATTTATTAACACAACGAAATCTCAACGGTGAGGAACAATTCAAGTAAGTTGCAAGCAAAATAAAATATTCAATTAAATGATTGAATTTGTAGCAGCCACAGCAATTGGCAGGCAAGTCTAAAGTCCAACTTGTTGCTTTGTTGGCGGTGGCGGTGGACGCGGCGCTTGTATTTGTTTTTATTTGCTATCTATACTGAAATATATAAATAAATAATGTACTCTCTATATGTACATTGTAGATATTGCAATTAGATTAATACGCTGCTGGCTATAAAGGCGATAATGTCGGCTCTGTTGAAAATGCATCGAGGTGAGTTTAAGAAAAAACTGTTAATTTATAAATGCAACAACAAGAACACACAATTTGGCGATTACATAAGATTAATGCTGATGAGATTCTAGAATATGAAATTCATCAGAGAATAATAAAAACGTAAGCAGTTTATATAATATGAACCTTTGCCAACTCTGCGAAATGTTTAGACTCTCTTCTGATTGGAGTTCGTATTGGGAATCTCATTGATTTCTTATCAGCTTATGCGCTTCACTAATTATAAATGCAATTTTCTCTGCAACCACGCCCAGTTCACAAGCTCTTTACGCCCGCCTTTGTGCGCAGCGTTTCAGAGGCAGCGAAATATCCGAAGATTACCACGCACTACACTTTGAATCCGCGGGAGAAGGACGAAAGATGGAAGGACGTGGACATGGAGCGTTGTGTCGAAGAGGTGGATATTGTCATCGTGGGTGGCGGACCAGCCGGCATGTCGGCAGCCATACGTGCCAAGCAGCTGGCTGCTGAAAAAGATCAGGTGAGCTGCTTATGTCATAGCTCTCCAGATCGAACGATAACACAAATTTTATTCTTGCTCGACAGGAAATTCGCGTTTGCGTAGTGGAAAAAGCCGCTGAGGCCGGTGGTCATATTCTTTCCGGCGCTGTCATCGATCCGATCTCTTTGAACGAGCTCATCCCCGACTGGAAGGAGCAGGGTGCACCATTGAACACACCCGTTTCGAAGGATACGTTCTCGTTCCTTACGGAAACGGGCCGCATATCCATACCCATCTTCAAGGGCTGGCCCATGGACAATCATGGCAATTATGTTGTTCGCCTGGGACACTTGGTCAAATGGCTCGCTGATCAGGCGGAGGCACTAGGCGTTGAGATCTATCCTGGCTGTGCAGCTTCTGAGGTGCTCTTCCATGAGGACGGCAGCGTCAAAGGCATTGCCACGAATGATGTGGGCATCGCCAAGAATGGCGCACCCAAAGAAACCTTTGCGCGTGGCATGGAACTACATGCGAAGACCACAATCTTTGCCGAGGGCTGTCGTGGCCATCTTTCCAAGCAGATTATGCAAAAGTTCGGCCTCAACGCAGGCAGCGAACCACAAACCTACGGCATTGGACTCAAAGAAGTGTGGGAGATTTCACCCGAGCGCCATCAGTGAGTTATCAAGCAAGGATACGCTAGAGCACAATCGGAACTTATTTTATTTATAGACCTGGTTTAGTGGAGCACTCAATTGGCTGGCCTCTGGATCGGTTTACATATGGTGGCTCGTTTCTGTACCATCTAAATGAACCCACACCCACCATTGCCGTTGGCTTTGTGGTTGGCCTAAACTATAGGAATCCATGGATCAGTCCGTTCCAGGAGTTCCAGCGCTTTAAGACGCATCCCAAGGTGCGCCATGTGTTTGAGAACGCCACACGCATTGGCTATGGCGCACGTGCCATCAACGAGGGTGGCTTTCAAAGTTTGCCCAAGAAGCTGTCCTTCCCCGGTGGCTGCTTGGTCGGCTGCAGTGCGGGCTTCCTGAATGTGCCACGTATCAAGGGCTCGCACTACGCCATGAAGAGCGGCATGCTGGCCGCTGAGAGCGCATTGGAGGCTATCAATGAGGGCACGCAGACCACAGCTGGCGTGGAGCCCGTAACTTATGCAGACAAGTGAGCTAGGAGGACCTTAAACTTATAGCTAATCGAAAATCTGATATGCATTTACCTTTTTAGGATCAAGGAATCGTTTGTCTGGAAAGACTTGTACAAGGTGCGAAATGTGCATCCGTCCTTCCACAATCCTCTGGGTCTTTATGGCGGCCTTGTGCTCAGTGGTTTCTCCATATTCATGGGCGGTCGCGAGCCTTGGACTCTAAAGCATGGCCCTCAGGATCACGAATCACTGCAGCCGGCAAATGTTAGTCCCCGCATTGTATATCCCAAGCCAGATGGCAAAATCTCGTTTGATTTGCTCTCGTCGGTGGCGCTCACAGGCACCAATCACGAGGGCGATCAGCCACCCCATTTAACATTGAAGGACGATCGCATACCCGTCGATCACAATTTGGCCATTTACGAGGGACCCGAGCAACGTTTCTGCCCTGCCGGCGTATACGAATATGTGCCCAACGAGGAGGGCGGCAATATGAAGCTACAAATCAATGCACAAAACTGCATTCACTGCAAAACCTGTGATATCAAGGATCCCAAACAGAATATCAATTGGGTGGTGCCCGAGGGTGGCGGCGGCCCCGCCTACAATGGCATGTAAACTAAATGCCAATGCTGCAAAGAGATTTGTAGAAGTTGTACCATAAATGCATTTGATTAGTTTGTAAATTGTAAAAAAAGCAAGAGAGAAATACTAAATTCTAAATTCTAAATTACTCTATAAACAAAAAGGTTGCAATAAAACAAATATTGAGAATTATGAAAAGTATGTAAATGTTCAGTTGCCAAAAAGGTGTTTTCTTTGTTTTATTTAAAAGATCGCTACTTTTCATTTTGTTTAAAACATCAACTTAATTTGTAGGTAAATATTTATGCCACAATCAATTTGTCAAAACCTTTCATATTCAGTGCACGGATAAAACTTGTTTATATAATATATAATATATTATAAATATTTATTTTTGGTTTTTATTTCCATTCTATTATTAGCTGCTCTCTTTTGTTATTTTTTGATGTTTCATCAAAATTGTTACTAGTATTTTTTCTTTTTTTTTTTTTTTGAACAGAAATACATTGATGATAACTATATATATTTATATATAATATCGATCTGGAGCGCCTTGTACATATATATGTATATATTTATAACTTAACTACTTGCATATCACTTAATTTGTAAAATATTCATTTCTCATAATTTTTGTTTTCTTATTTTCTTTTTTTTTTTTTTGCATTTTTTTAAGACAGCGCTTTGAAGGTTTTATAAACTTTTAAACGCCTTTTTCTGGTACCCAATCATAGCTTATGTTTGTTAATTTTTAAAACATTAATTTTATAATTGAATCTGTACGTATTTATGTCTTAGTTTGTGCTCATTAATGATTGATTATCTTCTGGACAACGAATTGCAAATGGAACCACATACAATTATCTTTAACACAAATACCTAATACACATCAAACATTAACAACATTGAAGATGAGTGGAAAACAAAACTAGAAATTGAAATTATACTATATTAGGCTATATATGGTTGATCTATAGTGTCTGCTTTTATTTTAATGTAATATATTTATATATATATATGGTTAATGCATAAAGTCTTGTTTGCCATTTAACACGCTTTGCTTATGTTTCTAATAGAGTTTCATAATCTTAATCAGGTGCCCCATTCAAAATCGTCGTAGAACAGTGCAATTTCCATTTATTCTTTAACATACATATTTAACTAGTTTATTTGATCTCAATTGAATTGTTTCAGATGATAATACCTTCCAAGTCAATTCAACTCAATATTTATTTAAATGTTGTGGTCCCTGTGACCTATGCATCGCCTTGCAGACGTCCAGCTATACAGTGCACTATCATCGTATATATCATGTATATATAACTCTATATGTATATCTATATGTGTGTATGATCTCTTAAAGTATTCAAAATTGTATGCCGAATCGTAATTTCTTTACTTTCCAATCATAATTTTTCCACGTTTTTTTGTACATTTTGTGCTGCTCTCTCTCTATCTGCTTTTTCTTCGCTACATGAGTAGTTTCCATAAATTTATTATAGTTTTTCTTTTTTTGTGTATTTTCTTAAAGCTTAGTTTAATTTTTGTTTCAATTTGTTTAGGTTTGCATTAACTACTTGTTTTTTCTTTAAATAGCACAATTAACACCTGTATTGAAATATTTTCACCATCAAGTTTACAGTTTCATTACATTTTTTCATGTATTTATTAACACTTATGTTTTTTTCTTTTGTTCATTTAAGAGGCACTGTTCTTAAGGCAACACACTAGAGAGTGAAGTTTTAGTATACCAAAAACAAAATATTTTATTTACACTCAACTGAAAATGTGAAAAACCGAAATGAGGAGAAAATGTTGTTTGTTGGAAAAGTGTTTGTTCTTTTGCAAACTATATATAAAAATTATTATTATTATTTTGTTTATTTGTTATTTTTTTGGAACCTTTGGGCTCAACTTAAGAACACAATATATCAATGGGGATGGGAGTACACTACATTTAACACTCACTGTACTAGGTTAGATTAATTGCAAGTACTTTCAAGTATTTGTAAGTACTTTTTGAGTACCATTTAAGTATACTTGACCATATATGGACAGCTAATATTCATTCAATCTTTTTTTATATATATATTCAATTTGTAGCGAGCTCCTTTTTTATGCACAAATCTGTTTTAAATTTTCAAAATGTTTTCCATGTATATATTTCTATCAGTATATATGTTTCAAAATATTTCTTTAAAAAAAAAGGAACTCGTACAAACTGTTTGTTTTCAATGAATTTTTGCTAATTAACATCTCAGTATATTGCTAGAAAATATGTAGCTTGAGCTACTTTCTATTATATATATATATAGGTATATATATATGTATGTATATATTTATATAGCTCAGTTTTGTTTTATATATATATATATATATATGTATGTATGTAAAGCTTGTTGTTGTTCATCTTTGGGAAACCTGTAAAGTGTAAATGTTTATTGTTTTTGTGTTCATTTGTTGTGCATTCGGATCGTTAAATTTCGCGCTATATCAAGTATGCACAGCTGCTGCTACAGTCCGTAGCATACAAATAGAAGTACTGTTAAATTATTTGCATACATATGTTGTTGTTATTGTTGTCTTATTTTTCTCTTTTCTCTTTTTTTTTTCATTTTACATTGGGGCTGTATAAAGTGCAACAGGTCATGTAGTATCAGAGCAAATATTTACAGAGCGCGTTTACGTGTATGTATATATCTATATATGACTGTGTGTGTGTTTATTTATATATATGTATGTATATATACATATACAAAAACAAAATTTTAAAATGTGCAATTGACATGTACACAGCCACACCCACCGACATGTAGCTAGCCGCTTAAGTACTAAAAATAAAAAGAAATTGTTTATAATCATTTTTATTTAAATTATATTTTGTGTTTTGAGTTGTTGTTTTACAAACTGCATTTAAACTGTATATATGTATATATATGTTGTAAAAAATACAAAAAAGAACTTAAGGCTTCATCAAATCGAAACAGAAATTCACGTGTGTGTTTTTTTTTTAAGTTAATTACAAATTATGACTTCGTTTTGCTTACAAATCAAAGAGAATTAAAGTCTATCAAAATAAGGATTTTACTTTATTTTATGATACTTAAATAAGGTATTTTTTTTTTCTTTTTAATTTAAGTTTAAACCAAAAGTTCTTAACGCCCACGCAAAAAGACTATAAAGTGTAAACCTAATACAAAATCATAAATTATATTTTTAAATTAAACTGAGTCGTTGTTTTAAAATAAAATATATATATATTTATGTATAATTTCTTTATTATAAATTTTGTCTATTAATATTGCAAACTATAATCAACCGAAAATTCATAAATTGCACTTGAATTCAGAAAATTATTGCATGAAGAATTATAAAGGAAACAAAACATATTTTGAGTACATTTTCATGTGTGTGTGTGTGTGTGTGTGTGTATGTAAGCGAGATTTGACAATTTTGTAAAACTTGTTCATCTCTTATGTATAGTTATATATGTATATGTAGTATATTATATATGACTTGCATGAATTACGTATATTTTAAGTGTAATTTTTAAAACTTACTCGAAACAAAACATGTATATATATATATTTGATATATACAATCATAATCGCTTGCACTTGACCTAAGTTTAAGTTTTCTTTAAATTGATTTAAACTAAATCAGCTCAACACACTAAGAACTAAACGAGTTTGAAAACTTTACTAGCAACATTTCTATAATTATTTGTTTATATATATAGTTTTTATAACTATTATTATTTTTTTTTTTACTTTTTAAAATTAATATTTAACTAACTAGGGGGCGCTTTCAAACATGACTTATGAATAATGTTTTTGTATGGGTTGGTTTTGTGTGTGTTTATTTAGATAACATTAAATTATAGCTACTAGCAATACACATATACATATATGTATATGTATATGCGTATTATTATTATAAGTTACATATTAGACAATAATTGTAGATATGACACTGTCACTTGTTTTTCGCTTAATATTTAAAAGAAAACCAATAACAAAACTTTTCGCTTCCAGCTGACTAAAATTCATCAAAACTATTGCACTGGTCTGGAAACTTTACTGTGCTCTGTTCATGTTGTGTTTTTTGTTGTTGTTGTTGTTGTTTATTATTATTATTTATTGTTGTTGTTGTTGCTGCTGCTGCTGCGGACCATAGCCCACGGCCAGATGTTGGCTATAGCAGTCATAGCCGTTGCCACGCCCATAGCTGGCAGCCGTGTGGAACACGCGTTCTTTACGTGGAGGCGGCGGCATCATGACCAGATCATTGTCACAGCTGCTGCTGCTGCTGCTGACTGGCTTTCTGTTGTTGCTGTGATGTTGCTGGTGTTGCTGTTGTTGTTGTTGTTGTGGCTGTAGCTTATAGCTGGCGCCACGTGCCGGCTATGTACCCCAGCCGCCGGATATTCTTGGCCTTTTGTGATTGGGCGCATCATAGTCGCTCAACTGTTGCTGTTGTTGATGTTGCTGTTGTTGTTGCTGCTGCTGCTGTTGCTGTTGCTGCTGTTGTTGCTGCTGCTGCTGCTGCACCGCAACCGCTTGTAGGCGCACATCCTGCTCGCCATTGGACGCACCTGCGTTTAAGATAATAAAATCTGTTAACCTATTAGTTGAGCTGCTTCGATTGCATATGTGTGTGGCACGGGCGGGCGGCAGGCGGGGGCTTTCATTTGTTTAAAGCCAGACGCAATGGCATTCAACGCCTGGCAACTCATGTGTGACGTGTGTGTGTGTGTTTGTGTGTGACGTTTATGTTGTTTGTGTATGTGTGTGTGGATTAAATGAGCGCAAATGTTAAACTCAGCTTAGGTAGTCAACTAGCATAAGTTAACTAATTAATGGGTTAGTGAAAGTAATCAAAACAACAAGGCAGGCAATTATTGTTATATTTAAAACATTTCTTCAGTGTTGTGAAAGATACAAAATTTGCTTGACAATTTGGTCTGTTGAAAAGTATGGGGAAAATCATAAAGTGATATACAAAATTTTGGCTGTGTACGTGTTAGAGCTGATAAACAATCGATAAACACCGATAAGTGACGATAACTGAATAGAACGTTTTATATATTCCAAAAAATTGATTGAGTCATGAATCAAACGATTTTACAATTTTAATATTGTAATAATAGCTTAGGCTATCGATTAAATACCGATAAGATATATAATCGAAAATGAATCGATTATTCAAGATACTTAAGATATTTAATCTATAGTCTATGTTGCCTTTTGTAGCGTATAATCTGCTACAAAAATGCCCATCGACAATTCCTATTTCGTTTATCAATTCCCTAACAATTTCGACAAGGGCAAATCAACAACGATATTTCTGCAATCAATATTATTATCAATATGCCCATCAGCTCTATTATGTGTGTATTGATGAGAACTATTCAAAAAGTTGTTCCATGTGTGTGAGAGTAATGTATGACAATATATGTTTGTATGTGTGTGTGTTCTCTATATGCAATTCTTGTTTTTGTATGTATGTATGTATGTATGTGCTTATGTTTGTTTGTGTGCATGTGTGAGTGTTTTGGCCAATTTACCGGCAAAATTCCATCTAGGATTATGTCCCATAAGCGCACGGTACGGATATCCTTCATACTTATCATGCCCTAAAAATTGTCATATAGTTGTTGTTGTTAATTGTTGTTGTTGGTTAATCAAAACGAACAAACATATTTTTTGTTTTGTGCGCCAGCAGCAATAAAGAAGTAGAAGAAGAAGAAACGATAAATAAATGCGGCTGCACACACGAGAGAGAGAGAGAGAGAGAGAGCGGCATCAGCGGCGTATGCGTAATATTATTCGATTACGAATACGCCGCATGAGCCAAAGATTAAATTTTGTTTCATTTCATTTTCATTTTCTTTCTTGTTTCTTTTTGCATTTTAGATAGCATTAGAGTACATGCCGCAAAAAAACACGAAAACTTTCTAAATTAGTAGAAAAACAAGTTTGTTGTTTTTTTTTTAATACAATTTTCTTGCGGATCAAAGCTGATAGGAAAATTTGGAATAAAGAATTTCGCTGGACATACCTGGTGTCGGTGTTATGTGACCTGTTGAGGAGGGCCGCGAATTGGGCATGACCAGATGCTGTTGCGAATGACTTAGGACGCTCAGATTGGTGGCCTGTTCTGCACTGCCATTTGTGCCGCCGCCGCCTCCGCCGGGCGTTAAGACCCCGGCACCGCCCAACTGTGTGATGGCATTGATGGCTGTTAGGACGCCCGCTGTTGAGACATTGCTGCTGGTGCTGCTGCTGCTCGAGCCACTGCCCGTGGAGCCGTTGCTGTTATGCTGATGGCCACCACCGCCACTGGCACCGCCGCCGCCGCCGCCGCCGCCACCACCACCGCCGCTGGCAGAGAGATCACGTGGCGGCGATTGCGGTTCCGCTTTGACCTTGATGGAGACGGGCGAACTGGCGGGCGGCGGTGTGCTATTCGAGACAGCCAGATGCGATAGACTGCAAGGCAGATTATGATGTTGGTCGCCGTTAAGTGTTTGCCTGCTGGGGCTGCTGCTGCTGCTATTCGCCGGGCTCGGGGCCTGGACTACCCACCTAGTGTGCTGCACGAGACCCTGATGCCACTGCGGCAGGCCCATTATGTCCGCGCTCATCGCACCCGACTGCGAAAAGTCCTGCGCCCCAAACGTATAGCTCGCCAGCGGCGGCATCGGTGTCTGCAACGTCACTACCGGCGTATTCAGTGACGTCTGGCTCTGGCGCTGCTGCAATTAACCAAATATAGATTAGTCTCTAAATTAGGGCTAACATAGAGATGCATCAGTAGCATCTGTAGATCAAGAGAATGTACTGAATGTCTACTTAGCTAACGTCATAGATTGTGAAATGTTACTTTGGGATTTTAAAAGGATAAATTTACTCTACATAAATTCCATTAAATATAAGAGATTATCGTAGATATTCTGAAAGAACTCGATTTTAATACCTTCATAAATTATTTAGCTCTATATATCTTACTTTTAAGAAATTTATGCTAGCATTATTATTCTCCGCTTCTTTTTCACCGTGCTTCACTCTTCAGCTATTCATAAACGTGTTGCATAAGATGTCTTACATTATTCAGTGTTGCATAATTCTAAAGGCTTCAAGAAGAGTTTGTCATGAATAGGCCGTACAGCGTGAACTGTGAGCTCGAATGCCTTACATAATAATCTACGCTGGATGCTCTTATGCAATGTATATCCCATGGCATAAACGTCACTCTAAGTGTGTGTATATGGGCAGTGTTGTATAATACTATTATTCAGTAACAATTTCATTGAATGGTGTTGTATAACACAAGTCGAAAGCAGGAATATATATTAAAGATTGTCAATTTTCGCATAAATACTGTAAATAAAAACACTTTTCATATACCCTATACAGTGTTGTATAACATCATTATTACAGCACAGTAGAGGCTAAGATTAAAGACTTTGTCATAATTCTACTTTTCGTATACCCTAACTATAACTTAATTAGTTCAAATATTACTTTCTATTTTCCAACACTTAACTTAAAGCTTATATAGAGCACAACTTACATCTGCATAGGCAACATCGTCCGCTGTCGCCGACATATTCGGCGCTATGGAGGGCGGTATGACGACACGCAAATTGGAAGCTCTGCCATTCTGGCTGCCCGGCGATTGCTGTTTAATGGGCAAATGATGCGCTGCAAGCATTTTGTATATTAATTGTTAAGTACACATATCAGAGATTAGACTGATGATCCACCGTACACACTGTGATTAAGTGCGCCCAAGTGGAGGAGACAGTGGGTGGGATGGGGACAGTAATCAAGAGGGGGCGTGTAACAGTTGACTAAAAACTCAGCTAATTGTATGTGTTATGAATATATGTGTGTGTGTGAGTGTGTGTGTGTTTGGATGTGTGTAAGTGAGTAAGTGTCTCTATGTGAGTGTGTGTGTGAGTTAGGTTCCCTTATTGTAATATGATTATTGTCAATAATGCCCACCTATGCCAGGACTGGGACCTGGACTGGGTGATCCCACAAGCGGCGAATGTGAATGTGGATAACCGTTTGACATCTCCAACATGGTACCCGATGGATAGACTGATGTATGAAATATATAAAGAATATATAGATATGCAATAGTTTTTTTTTTCTTATCACAATAGAACTGGGGAGGCAAGACAATATTGAAAATCAAAAACAAAAACAATTTGCAGGCAGTATTAGAGGTAAGTTCAAGAAAGTAGGACCCAAAATGGTCTGCCTAGGTAACGAGTTGTGCATGCAAAAAGTAAAAAACTAAAATCGAACTAAAAAGTAAGTAAATTAGCTCTGCTATCTGCGTAGAGTTGGAGTCACTTGGTTAAAAAAAAAAAGGAAAAACACAAGGCAAGACAAAACAAAATATGAAATAAAAGAGTAACGAGTAACGAGTAGCTTGTAGCTGTTAGCGAGTAGCTAGCAACGAGCAGCGATTAGGGCGCAACGAGTTCAACTCATAAATAAATAAATAAAGTCAGTAGAAGAACGTAAACAGTAACAGAAATTGTAATAAATGAAAGAAAATTGTGCACCCGAGACACTGTACTAACTTATTAAGGACATCCCACCTGAATCCGTCTCCGAACTCGATGGACGTGGGCTGATGTTTGTGTGGGACATTTGTGGGCTGGCCTGCAGCAGATTCTCACCGTAGGAGCCTGGCACTGGCACCGATACTGGCAGCGTGTAGCTCGTATTTGGCATGGGTCGATTTGGTGCACCGCCACCGCCGCCGCCGCCTCCTCCTCCACCGCCACCGCCACCCGTAACGCCGCCAATGTTCATTTGGCTGCGCTGCATCATATTCTGAAATTCCTCGTCGATCTTATTATATTTGGCTTCGGTGCGGGGTGTTAGCGTATAGTCGGCCTCCGCTTCGGGTGAATCCGGTGACATGACGCCGTTTTTGTTCTCCTTCTGCAAATGACAACGGCACACACAGAACAGACCGAGAACGAAAGAGAGAGAGAGAGAGTGGGTGAGTGTGTGTGTGTGTGAGAGAGAAATTTGTGTAGTGGTAATTGGCTGCGACAGAGTGAGACTAGGGTGGGGGTGCACTTGGCACTTGACACGTCGCCGCTTCGTTGATGTGCTAAATTATGTAAATCTTGTCTACGCTCTGCGCGGCATTAACATTACAAAACAATTTAAAAGGCAGCAAACAAAAGACAACAGCAACAACAACAACAACAGCAACAACAATGCGAAGAAGAGCCGCGACAATGTCCGCATTAGAAATGCAAAATTCATTGGCGTCCCACCGGGCGCTTCCGCCTGACCCTTCCAAGCTCTTTGTTAGGGCTCAAAACGAAAAACGTTTGCTTGCTCAGTTGCATAGCTCTCCTCATTGTTGTTGCTGTTGTTGTTGTTGTTTAGTTTATTGTTTTGTTTGTATTTTCCGCGTGGCTGCTGCGCTTTTCACAGTTCACTTGACTTTCCATAATTTTATGCAAGCGCCGCGCGATAAATATCGATAGCTGTATAATTAACAAGCAGCGAGCGATAAAAGAGGTAGACAAGAAAGGCGAATAGCGCACATAGCGAGCGCCAATTACAGCGAGTAGAGTTCAACGAGTACCGACTGTAGCGGGTCGAGACCATAGCGAATAACGTTGTCCAAGACCAAATCGTTACGGGTCTTAGCAACGTATATCGAGAGCTACATATAACGATTATCAATTACCGAAATATTGTGAATTGAAAGTCACGCGTAATACTGACTCTAGTGAGAACCGATTATTACGATTATTACAATGTAAATATCTCATTAACTTACCTCAATGATATTCTTGTTAGTTAGCGATTCGTGTGGCTCATTGTATTCGGTATATTTGAGCAATACACGATCCATATCGGTGCTGGCATATTGATAGAGCTTATTACTGGACGAGAAGATGATCAGCGCTATCTCGCAATCGCACAGCACGGACAGCTCATAGGCCTTCTTCATAACGCCAAACTTGCGTTTGTTGAAGGTCACCTGCGGGGTAAAGAAACACACAGAAAGAGAAAGAGTATGAATAAGAGAGAGAGAGAGTGAGCGAGAGAACGGTTAAAACGAAACAAAAGCGAGCCAACCGAAATTGTTCACAATTGGCTGTTCAAATATTCATGGGAAATGTAATTAGAGGCTTCGTCTCATAGACCAGCACTGACAGCGATTGGTAATGAATCGATTATGGCCAAGTCAAGGCGAGAGGGCAACCGCATTGTTGTTGTGGCCATCAGTTATGACGCGTTTACGACTTGGTTAGGCATTAACCTTTACAATGCCGCCAATGTCCTCTGCTTGAAAGGGTTTCCAATCACCAATGCACGCACACGGCACGAGCAAACTGTTCGTTTGAGGCAAAGCAACAGTTAGAACAAAGCTAAGGGGTAGTTAATGTGTTTGTGTGTGTGCGTGTGTGGGTGTATCAATTAGAACTAGTTCATTGAACATAGGCGAGAACATTTTACACGGGAATTGAACTAATGAAAAATTATATGCGAACTAGGCTATAAATATGCAGAGTCCTTAACTAACTACTGGTTCTCAAAAACTGGTTCTTAGCAGAACTAAGAACTATGAACTGATATGCGAACTGTACTCTTAAAGAACTAAAGAAAATGTTTAGAGAGTTATAAATTTCTAGCCATACATTAAGAACAAATCTTTGAGAACAAGTTAAATATATTTAAGGTTTTCATTAAAGAATCAGAACTAGTTCACAGTTGCCCACACCCATACTCAACTAGAAGGCAAGTATTTTAATGAATTTTTCATAAACTATTTTCTCAAACTTTTGCTCAACTTCAGCTCAATTTTAGCTATTTTTTAGTGCTTCCGCCTGTTCTTCATTTAGTTGAAGCCCTTTGAATTGTTTTCAACAATTTTAATTAATAAATTTCTAGGCATTCGTTGGCTATCTTTTTGCCACAAGCATGCTCGCAGTTGCTTTAATATTTCGTGTACGCTGCCTTCTTAAATATTAAGCATACGCAGTGTTTGACTCACCTGTCGATTGCGTTCATCGGTGATGCGTGAAATCTGAATTTTTTTGCGACCCATGGCAACAGATTTCGATTTGATACACCCAAATGCTGTTGACAATAATAATATTTCCTTATTGATGTTGTTGTTGTTTGCTCCACTTCCTGTTGCTGCGGTTGTTTTTTTTTTTTTGCTGGCTCAAAGGTGAGGCAGCAGTTGGGCTTACTCCTTGTTGCTGCTGCTGTTGTTATTGTTGCTGTGGCAAACGTTGGGCATATTATATATATATATAGAGAAATATATATATTGATTCTGATCTATATAGATATATAGTCTGTAAATAAGTGCTGGACGGCTTCTCGAAACGGCAAAATGTTTGTTTTTTTTTTCACTTGTTTTTATTTATTGTTTGCTCCGGTGATTGTATATATAAATATATTTATTTGTTGCAGTGTAAAGTGTATTCTCAGGTATCTGCAAAAGAGTGAGAAAAATAATGAATAAATTAATATATGTACATATGCAAACATGGTGAATGGGCAGCCATTATCTGTGGCCAGCCCGATAGCGCTAGACGATTCAACTCGGGCTTAACTCATCTGCCCGCTGACTTCAAAAGGTGCGCCTGGCTGAGCAGGCAGTGGAGCAACTTGTTGACGCTTCATTGGCCACGTGCCGAAAGTTCAATGCACCTATCCTAGTCTAAGCACTTTGCTCCAGCTGCTGACCCATTTATTTTGTTCTGACTAGGCCACATTAGCCAGATTCCTTGGATTAATTGATGCTCTGCTGCCCGTTGGCATTGCATATCCCTTATACCGTTTTTTTTTTTTGCCTTGGCTCTAGCCTTCGCCCTTTATAAAGTGCGGCTCGATGGACACGCTCTCACGCGTGGTTAGCACCGTTCGCCTATGCGTACGCTTTGATGTCCTTCAGGTGTCACACACACACACACACACATACTAACAGAGGCGCCCACCTACGCACGACCACATTGAGCCACGCTTTCTACATTAGCTATTCATCAAAGCATAACAAGGCAAACTCAAGGCAAAAAAATAAAATAAAATAAATAAAAAAACAAAAGTTTTTGACTTGCTTTGAAAAGAAAAATACAAATTAAAACAATGCGTGGGAAAATTATTATGTTATTGAAATTAATTCTTAAGAAAATCTTATAAAACTTTAGAATTTTTCAAATATGAACTTATCAGACATAAATATTATGATAGCTGATAAGCAATGTGAGTTCTCTCAAAATCGTTTGGAACTAAGGGAGAGTTCAAGTTAACATAGGCATTACATTGCAGTGCTCTGTTAACTTTCTTCAGTGCTATTATGTTATGGTAAGCAGAGAGAAAGCCTTTTATTTGCAACTGTTATACACAGATGTAGAATTAACATTGTAACATATTCTGTTAATTTTTCTGTTAAATCATTCTTATACTCTGCAAAGATTACAGTGATGCTGCTGTTATATTTATGCATCTGTTACTCATTTTAACATTTACAAACTATGTTAATCAACTGTTGCTATCTAGCACTCAACTTTCCAGCTGTTAAATGCACATTCGGGGCACTTTAATATACCCATTTGATGGGGCACTCAACTACAGGATATAAAATAAAAAAACAGACGCCTGCGGCTACTGCCAAGGCACGTGGCTCAAAAACGCGACTAACATCTTAGAGCAGTCTCCATTAGCTAACACACACACACGCACACACCCTCTGTATGTGTGCGTGTGTCTACTGTGTAAACATGGCAATTCTTGTTGCTTGCCACGCAGGACTTGCCACGGCGGGAAAGCGCAAATTTCCGAGTGCGAGTGCCGGAAATCGAGGCAGATGAATTTCAATTGCTCCGCTTGCTTCCCGTTTGTCGTTTGTCCTTTTTTTTTACCGTCAACTCTCCTCACTCACTCTCTCTCTCTCTCTCTCGTTCTGTGTGTGTTGCTGGCTTGTTTGTCCTACGGCCAGGACAACGTGGCTGCCAAGGCAACGTTTGCTTAAAAACGAGCGAGCCTCACGCAGCAACAACAATAAGACGAACAACAACAACAGCAGCAACAACGACAATGACGACCTACGCAATATGTTTCAGCTTTCAACCCTGGCCTGCCAGCCTGCCACACACAGCTGGGGTAAGAGCTTCAACCTTGACGTACAGCCCGAATGGGCCAACAGGACACAACCCGAAAAAATTCGATACAACAATGATTATGTGGAGCGTGCGTGCGTTTTGTATGCTATGTCATTATTATTGAAATAAAAGTAAGCAAGACCCAAGAAGTTTGGGGTCGCTGTCGCTGTCGATGTGTGTGTGTATCAATAAATCGATAGCATATCGATAATGCGCGAATGACGCGACGATCGGTTTTACTAAATGCAATACATTTATATGTACAATATACGTATGTATATGTTATATAGTTTGGCTAGTTAGTCATTTAGTTCTCGACTTAGTCATTGCATTTTCACTTTATGTTAGTCAGTTAGTGCAGCGTCTCCCTTACAATTCACATTACGCATACGCAACGTTGCACAATGTAGACAGCTAATGAAGACGCTCACGCCAAACTAATTTATAAACTTGTCCACGCATAAACACCCACACACCCACTATCGAAAGCAAATAAAATAGTTTCGAGTGCTATCCAAAAGCAATTAAGATACATAATTAGTTTGATGAAGTGCGTCAGGTAGCAAATTGTGTGGAAATGGAGTAGCACTCGTGATGTGAGCGAAAGATGTGTGTAGAAATGTGTGGAGTGTGGAGAGTCAGCAGCAGACTTTTGGTATGATAGAAGCATGAGCTCGATTGATATATAAGTAAATATTTATTCTTTTTATATGTCAAGGATATTTATATTTTAAGGACTTGAGCCTGTAGAACTAAAAAAAAATTAAAATCTGAAACAGAGACAATTACGAAACGTATTTAGATCGATCTAATGTATAACAAAAATATTATAATACAATTTTATATATATTCGAAACTATACTATACTCAGAACACGTTACCCAATCCCAACATTCCTTATAAAAATTTAACCACAAATTGTTGTTTGATTAGGGCATAATATTTTAATTACATACTCTATAAAAACTTTTAAAAATTCCCAAACTCTCATCTATTTTCAAATACTTAGTTTAAACTCTATGCACGCAATGCAAACAAAATTTAGCTTTGAGTTACACAAAACCCGGAAAAAAAAAAACGTTTATGTCTTAATTAAAAGTGAACAAATCCGATTACAAAATCCCACGACCTTTGGGTCAAACGACAAATATTGACATTTAACAGGAAATCTATTGACTCAATATTGATGGCCGGCGAGTGTATTATGCAGAGATCTCTGTCGAGGCCGATAGCCGTTGATATGGGTACCTTTATAAGTCATTAAACCACTTGGCTGTGGCTATATAACGGGAATGTTACTCAGCTCATATATACATATATTTAGTGAAGGAGCAGCGTAACGATAACAAAAACTAAACGAATACAAATCGGAGCTTAACCTCTAAATGATGATAAGGACCCGCATCGAGGTAAGAGCAACAACAACAACAACAACAACAACAGCAGCAGCAGTAACGACAAATAAGAGAAATGCGTCACAGAGTAGCACGAAAACATGAATAATTGAAGCTGCTTAGCGGTTGGGCCGAGGGCGGGCCACAAATAAGATGGGCGGGGCAGTTGGGAGTGTTGAAGCGTCGCCTGGCAGCTGGCAATTAAAGCGTGTGTACGCTATGTGTGTGTGTGCGTGAGTGTGCATAGCTTATTAAATTCAAATTAATTCAAATATTCGATACGTTTCGCATTTCAATGCAAAGAGAAGAAGAAAAAATATATTGAGTTGCAATAGGAGCTTAACTTATAGATAGCACATCAAAGATACAAATACAGGAGCAGCAGCAGCAGCAGCGGCAGCGGCACACGCAGCAGGACATCATAGACAGCGGCAGCTCATCAAACGTTTGAATTACAAATTTATAGCATACTTATGAGCGCCGATGGCTGGAGGAGCGGGCAGGGGGCAGCAGCAGAAAACGTTGCTCAAAGATCTTGAATGCTTGCAAATTTATGTGGATTGAGTTGGTTTATAAATACAAAATAGTATTTGATATATTAAGTAAATAATTAATTTATTTTTAGTCAAATAAGAGAGAAGAGTTTTTAATAAGAAGAAAATAGTGGAATTAAAAAGAGTATAAAATATTGCAATGATCATGTTTAGATTTGATGCTGGCTTGGCTGATATTGCACATGAAAATATTTGATAATAATTGTGAAAATACATATATAAATTTTCAAATAAGTAAAATAGTTGAAAGCAGAATTAGTTTAAATATTAAAAGATTTTTTCTTTATTTAGCAAGGTTTCCATTGCAACTAATACTAAGACACATTAATGTATCTATAATTAAATCACAGAGACCTCAACAGTTCTTGAAGAAACATTCAGAGACAGTATTCGACCTCTAATCAAACTTTAGAATCAGCAAAATTACTTGGCTGTCAAACCGTTAGCAGAGCGAACTATGAGATCACTGCGATCATATGTACGCACAGTCAGATATGAGAGACACCCAGACGGACAAAGACTTAAAAAAAGAACTAAGTCTGCCGAGTCAGACAAACAAACTTGGAATTCAAGTTCATATCTGCCTTTGCTTGACTAACTGAACAATTTAGACTGACAGGCTCATATGACCATACAGCACTTTCTCTATCGATACAAAATTCTCTATCCACAAAAAAATATAATTTGACAAGTGTTTTCAATCGCGTGTGCTATATCATTTGGCAGCAGTGTTCAGTGCTGCTGCGCCTGTTGCTGCTGCTTATCAATGCGATGGGCTTATCAAAATCTGCATTTGCCATCTCACTACCCACTTGGCTCTGCTGGTCAGGCGATTAGATTGTTAAAGAGCAGCACAACTAGCCTCAAGTGCCGACAAATGAAAACAAAGAAAAAGTGAAAAAAAGAACTGAAAAAAAAAAACAAAACAACGTAAATCTAGGTAAGCAATAAATCAAAGTGACACGTCACTGGAATGTCTGTGTAAATGTGTAAAGGTGTGCTCTCTGTATTGTTACCAAAAAAAAAAAAATATATATATATATATATATATATACAAGTTAAGCAAAGAAGAAACGGCAGAGCTTTGCTAGTCGGCCAGGCACAAGTGTTAACTGTGACTAATTGCAGGTAGCAGGCGGCCAGGTGAGCTAATCAACCCGGACACACGCCAAAGTGTTGGCGCCCTGGGGTCAAAACTTAACACAGTTTGTTGCTGCAACAATTAAACAGTTGCGGTTGCAGCGACTGCGATGCAACTTGACTGGGTCAGCGCCACTTGAGCACACAGCCAACAACAACAACAACAGCAGCGACAACAACAGCAACTATACAACAAAAAGGAAGGAAGGAAATTAGTAAACGATTTTTTTTCCCTGCTTGCAA